CCCAGGCTATATATGTATTTGGAATCAACTGGCAGCTGACCATCTAGAAAAAGGCGGGGGGGGGGGGGCATTTTATGAATAAAAACCAAACACTCCAGTTAGAAAGGGGGGAAGATCTATAACTATTAACTAACGTTCCTCTTAATTGTAAGGACTATTACCAAATAAGCAAAGTTAAACTGCCCAAACTGTCAACACTATGAATACAACCTTTGGAACAAATTTTGAAGAAATTAAGATGTTAGCAAATATTTTCATGAAAACATGAAATTTAATAAAAGTTAAGAATTTCAGGATACTCACAAGGAGAAATTTCAGTTCTCTGTGAAGATGATCCAGGCAACCTCTGGGCTCTCCTGATTCCACTTTGATATTCTAAAAAGTATCCAAGTCAGTTTTCACTGATAAGCCCATCTTCTCTTCATAGGGGTCAGTTACTTGAATTCCAAACCATCCACACATTTTAAAAAAAATCTCTTCATTACACTCCTAAAAAACCAAGTGTGTACTATCCTAGCCAGAGGTCAAAGTTTTTCAAACCTAACACCTTATAAAAAGTACATGTTGGGCCAGGGATGTAGCTCAGTGGTGCTGTACCTGTGCAAGGTCCTGAGTTCAATCCCCAGTACCAGGAAAAAAAAAAGGTACATATCAATGTATGTAAATCCCTATTACAGGAAAAGCCTAAGAGTATAATTATCTGGGCAGGGACTTAGCTCAGTGGGGCCATACCTGCCTTCCAAGCACAAGGTCTTGAGTTTGATCCCCAGTACAAGAAAAGAGTATAATTATCTATAATTCCATAACCCCAAGGGAACCACTGTTAATATATATATTTTATTTTTATTTATTTATTTTTGGTACTGGGGATTGAACTTGGGTCCTTACGCTTGCGGAGCCGGTAGCAAAACCACTGAGCTAAATCCCCGGCCTATATATATATTTTAAAAACAGGCTTCTATGTATACTTTTTAAAAAAGCAGTTGTGTATATTACTTCGTATATTTTCTTTTTTTGCCAAATAAGAAGAATTTCTTGTCATTATTATTAATATTTTGAGACAGGGTCTTAGTTCATTGAGCTTTTTTTTTTGGTACTAGGGATCGAACTTGGGACCTTGCACTTTCGAGGCAAGCGGCGGAACCACTGAGCCAAATCCCTGGCCTCAGGGTCTTATTTCAGGCTGGACTTGAACTCATAATGTAGCCTAGGGTGGCTCTGAACTCATGGCAATTCTCCTGCCTCAGCCTCTCAAGTGGTGGGATCACAGGTGTGCGCCAGCACACCTAGCTCTTTCCCTCGTTATTATTATGTACAATTTAGGTTGGGCACAATGATGCATGTCTATAATCCCAGTTACTCAGGAAGCTGCGGTAGGAGGATCACAAGTTTGAGGCCAGCCTGGGCAATTTAATGAGACCCTGTGTCTAAATTTAAAAAAAAATTTTAAAAGAGAAAGTTGAGGGTACAGCTCATTGATACAGTGCCCTTGAGTTCAACCTTCCAGTACCACCTCCCAAAAAGCCATATAAACACAAAACGAACAACAAAAAGAAACAAAAACGTTTTATAAACCCTATATAACATTTCATCATGGAAATTCTATTTTCCTGTTGAAAATTCAGGTTTTGTTTTCAGTATTTCAGAAACACAGCTGTCTCACTGCACCAAATATCTTGTATGTAAATTGTTATCAATTCTGACTTGTTTTCTCTTCTTTTTTTTGTTATTTTTGAGATAGAGTCTCCCTATGTAACCCAGGTGGCCTTAAACTGGTGATCCTCTTGCCCCAGACTCTTAAGTAGCTAGGATGGTAGGTATGTGCCACCATGCTTGGCTTAATTCTGACAAATCCCCTAAGACAGATTCCTAGAAATGTAAACACACGGTGAAAGTGTTTAATATCATAACATTTCTCAACGGGTCATAGAGGTTAAGTCATTTTGAGAATTCTACTTGTGTTCTCCCTCAACAGACTCATTAACCAGGCAAAATTCTTAAGTTCCACAATTGTGGGGTTGGGAGCAATTGGCAGATCAGCTCTCTGGCAAAACCTCCTCCGAGGTCCTGTAAGCCCTCAGGGGCAAGCAAGGCCTTCAGAGTGGTCCAGCCTCACACCCAGGGACCATGAGCCTGGCAGCACACAGCACCGGCCACAAGCCAGCAAAGTACTATCTAGCAGCCCACGGACCAAGGAGAAAACAGGGCGTCTCCTACCAGAATGGCAGTTGAAGAGAGTGGAGGGACTTGAAGCATCTCATCCACAGGGCTCCAGGAAATATCCAGAGTGATGGTCGTGTGTGATGGGGTGACATAGTCATCTAAGACACTGGACTTAAAGAGCTCATACTGTGCAAAGCCTTTGGCCATTACCTGAAAGAGTGTACCCAGCACACACTTAGCTGAGTCGTCACAGTATCCATGATCAAAACCACTTTTGACACTTGTCCCAAAAGAAAAAAAGCACCATACCAATACTTTCATTCCAAATGGAAAAACAAGACAATTCTTTGAAGCCACAAACAGCTGACAGCCAGGAAGGCACAGACAGTCCAACCTCTATGTCCCTGAGTTCTTCATCCATGGCTTCTACCATCCATGGATCAACCGAGATCAAGACTACACAACAAAGACAGTGTCTGTACAGCCTTTTCTCTTATCATTTCTGAACAATACAATAGCAACTATTTACAAACAATTTACATTACAGGTGTTTTAGCAAAGTAGCAACGGGAGCACTATATAAGACAGTGTGCATCAGTTATATGCAGACACCACACCACTTTATATAAGGGACTTGAGCATAGCAGAGCCTGAACCTATCCCCTATGCATACATAGGGATGACTGGATCTTAGTTTATACAAAAATAAAACATTTTGACACTATAGAAAAATACTCAGTCATAGTAAGGGTGGAAAAAAAACCTTTTAAACTAGGAAAGTAGGTCAATAACAGCTTGAAGAAGATAACAGAAGAAAAAAAGAGAAAATAACAGAAGAAAAATACTCACTGCAGACAAGTGATGTCTTTTCTTGTGTGAATTTTTTAGGTTTTCCAGACTTGGAAAATAATTTTTATCAGCTTAAGATATGAAAGAAAGAAAAAAATGTAAAGATACAATTCAAAATTATAATGGTAGAGCTCAAAAATTATAATCTCTTAAATTCTGAGGATGCCATAACTCAGTACCAATCATTGTTGAAACTAAATTTTAAATCACAGAAAAGGAGATGTTTATTTTTTTTAAAATGAAAGCAGAACAAAGGTTAATAACATCATCAAAAGTATAATTAAACAGCCAGGCATGGTGGCGCATGCCTAGAGTCCCAGCCACTTGCTGAGGTGGGAAGATTACTGGTGCCCAGGAGCTGGAGACCAGCCAGCCTGGGCAACACAGGGAGACCCTATCTCAAAAAAAAAACAAAAAGAAAAAAGAAGAAAGAAAAAGTGAAAAATATAACTAAATGCCCATTTGAGAATGGAATTATAATTGGATTTTTTTTGTTTTTGTTGGTACTGGGAATTGAACTCAGGATCTTGCGCTTGCGAGGCAGGCGGCAGAATCACTGAGCTAAATCCCCAGCTGTAACTTCTAACATATATGGGCATGATTTTAAAAATACAATGAATGTTCCATAAAAAACTGATTATAGGATTTAGCTCAGTGGTTCTGCCGCCTGCCTCGCAAGCACAAGGTCATGAGTTCGATCCATAGAAGTTACACATTCAATTCAACTGATCAACAAAATTTCCACTGTACATCTTCCTTTTATCAATTTTCAGTAAAAACCACAAAACAATTACTATGCAAATAAATACACACACACAAAGTACAGAGGGAGCATTCACCTTTACAACTGACGGCATATAAGACAATTCCTGTAATGCTGTCACCAGCAATGACAAGCTCAGCTCCTAGCCAACAGGTGTCTTCGGGATCCGAGCTGTCGCATCTGACCCAAAGGGGAGGGAGGGCAGTAACTGGCCGCTCAATCTTCAAATGGGTCATGTTAGGATTGTGAGCCATGGTGTAGAGCCCAATGAACTGCCTTGAAAATAAGAGTAAGAAAGAAATTACCTACCATTTTGGGCTCACAGTGCAGCTCAGGGGTAGAGCATATGTGTGGCATACTCAAGGCCCCACGTTTGATCCCTAGCATCACACACACACAAAAATATTCTTTTAAAAAGATACCATGAAGGAAGGGCCACATCGAAACAACAAGCTGGAAATGAAGTGGTCAGATGCACAAATATAAATGGATATGTACCTCGCCCAGAGGAGAGAGAACGGAACTTACCAAGCTGACAAAAACGCACACCAGAAAGTGACAACGTGACTAGCAAACAACCAGCCACAAAACTGAGTGCAACTGGGTAGGAGGAACTATACAGGCAGGGAGCTCAACCTGGCAAAGACGGGGGTCAGCAGGAATAGAAGCAGGGTGTGAGATAAGCTAGCAAAGTAAGTGGAGCCAACAGCTGTAACAGAAGGTGCCCAAGATCACAGGTCACTGGGGGCCTTAAGGAAACCTGATTATAAGCTCTCAATTGGATAACAGTATTGTCATAATGCTAAACTTCCAGATTTTTTTTTTGAGACTGGATCTCGGTACACAGTTCAGGCCAGCCTCAAACTCACAGTGCTATTCCTGCCTCAACCTCCCAAGGGCTGGGACTATAGATGTGTCCCCACTACTCCTGGTCCCAAGTTCCAGATTTTGATCATTGTTTTTTTGTTACATAAAAAAGTAGTTCTTGCTCTTAAGAAATACAGCAATACCTTGGTTCACAAGTGCTTCTTTTTGCAAACGATTCAGTTTGCAAACAAAAGTGTTCAGCAAAATTTTGTTTCTCTTTGCAAACTCGGCATTGGGTGACAAACATGACCACGGCCATCTTCCCCACACAAACACAAACGCAGCCATTTTCCCCAAAATCTTAAGACAAATTAAGTTTGTAAACCGAGATTCTACTGTATATAATGAGGTACTTAGGGGTAAAGGAACATAATGTCTCCCAGATACTGCTTCTATTTCATTTAAAAAGCTGTGTATGTATCTAAGTAGTACATGTACATCTAGCTACCTATACATGTAAATACATACATACTATATTTCAAGTGCTACCTACATTTCATAAAGACAAAATATATAGTCATGACAGTATATCATAACATATACTATATGCAAATATGTATAAAACTATATAGATTGCTCTGTGCTCTATCTACATGTACAGAGGAAGAGGAGAGAGAATGACAAACTGGATTCAGCAAAATGTAGATAACTGGTGAATCGGAGTTAAGCATATAGGTGCTTCTGTACTATTCTTTTAACTTTTCCATACATTTAGTATATATCAAGGTTAAAAATTACTCAGGGCAGGGGATTTAGCTCAGTGGTTTTGCTGCCTGCTGCGCAAGCGCAAGGACCCAAGTTCAATCCCCAGTACCAAAAAAAATTACTCCAAAATGTGGCTTAATTTTCAAAGAGAAAAAACTTAATTTATTATCAATATTTTCAAAGAGATGAAAACTTAATTTATTATCAATAGATGTTCAGGAAAGGAATTTCTAAAGGATTTTACTTCCAAAAGAAAGTACAATAATCCCAAAAGGAAGATCTGAAATGCAAGAAAAAAATAGCAAAGAAATGACAAGCATATGGCTCAATCTAAACCAACACTGGCTGAAGAAATTAATATGAACAATGTTCAGTCATTATGGAGAAAAGGAAAGCAGGCCACACTATGCCTTCAACTCAAGAAGTCATGTGAAGAAAGAGACTGGTTAATGCAGTAATGTAAATGTTTTTGAAACTTCTACCAAGCAAAATGAAAGTCACTGTGTGAATACTGTGACAGTAGTTATCATTCTCTAACATTATTTCATGGCTCCACTTTGCAGAGCTCCTTGATGGCCAGGACTCTGTCTCCTCATACAGACGGCTACATCTCAGGGAAGCAGAAGTGAAGCTCCTGGGCAGTCAGAGGTGGCAGGCTCTGCCCAGGGCACACTGGCATCCTGGTGGGTAACTTACAATGGCACAGGAGAGTTCTGTGTTGTGGGGCTTTTACCACCCATTGCCAGACCCACTAAATGCCAGCAGCTCATCTGGGTCAGCAGGACAACCAAAATACCCCCAGATACTTCAGATGGCCACTGCGTGTGGCAGTAGCCTGGTAGCGGACCTCCTGGGTAGTAAATGAAGGCTCCGATATGTCACTCGTGAGGAATTTGGTTTCTCATGAAGCACTGAAGAAACAGCAAAGGGGTTTTAAGCAGGGGAGCAAGGTGATCAGGTGTTTGCAAACAATGGTCTGGGAGCAGTGACGAAGAAAGGCCAGAGAGGAACCATCTTAGACACATGCAAAACAGTTAACGTGCAAGGACAAGAACTGGCAGAGAAGGGTGGAGAAAGGTAACTGCAGTCTTCGTCACGTTCGGGATAGCTGTGTGATATCATGCAGAGCGACCCTCAGAGAGCTGGGTGAACACATCTTGGGGAGAAGAGAGTTATCTGGGCTGATATATTTGTTCATGGTTTATAAGTATGCGTCAATTTAAATCCTATCCTCCATCGCTACCCTTACACTCAGAAAAACTTACCTCGCTTTCCCAAGTGGTAAAGCAAGTGGCCCAACATTTTCACCGGCAGAGAAATCAGAAATAGCAGTTTCTTCAGATTGCAGTTCTTCAACATGACTTGTTTCTTCCTTTTCTAAAGGCTGGAAAAGGGCTTTAAATTATTTAACCAGGCAAAAGAGAGTTTAAGATAGTGGGCCACTCTTTACTATGCGAGGCAGTATCTTACAAACAGAACATAAAATATTCATTTCTATATTTCTAAGCACAGATGATTGGGTTATGGCAAGAATCACAGCCAAAAACTAGGCTGTCAGCAGCACTTCCCACTGTCCCCTAAAAAGATGCTAACTTAACTGCTGTTGGTCCAGGAAGCATCTGATACATTCAGAGAAGTACAACAATGAGGTAAAGATAAAGTACTAAGGGAAACCCATGGGGGAGCCCCAGATTTCACTGGATTTCTCATTCCCTAGACTGGAAGAACACATTTCTGGGAAGTGACCTCAGATCCACCACGCTCACTTCTTATATCAATTCCTCTTGGGGCTACCAGTTCTCACTGGTGTTACAGGGCTCTAATAATCTGCTTATTTACAAAATAGTTAAATAGCTCAGCCTTGGAAAGAATAACAGTAGAGCTAACATTTCTTACTAGTACTAGGTACTGTTATCTAAATTATCTTTATTCTTTATAAAAATACTGAGATAAGACGCTCTCATTGGCCGGGCATGATCGTGCATGCCTGCAATGCCAGTACTTGGGAGGCTGAGTCAGGAGGATGGCTATGAGTTCAAGGCCAGCCTGAACTATATAATGAGTCCCTGTTTCAAAAATAAAGACCACTATCATTATCCCTAATTAACAGGTACGAAAACAAAGGTACCACCTATGATGACAAGTGCTACATGGCAAAGCCATCATCTGAACCCAGTAGCTCTCAATCGTGGTACATCCCTACCACAGGATACCCCTCAGCAATAAGACGAAATGAGCTATTAATACACTCTGGATGGATCTTAAAGGCCTTATACTAAGTGAAGGAAGACAAACTCAAATGGTGATTCCATTTGTGACACTACTGAAAAGACAAAACCACAATGCAGAAGGGTTTGGTGGTCACCAGCAGGGGGCATGAGATTACAAAGGACCAGCTGAGAGTGTTGGGGAAGTAGAACTGTTCTATATCCCAACTGTTGGAGAGTACAATAATCTATGCATGCACAGAACTGGACAGCAAAAGAAAAAAGTCAGTTTTACTGAGTTAATGATAATGTTTCTTTTTCTCAATGAAACTACTAGAAAATTTAAAATTATATATGGTTCACATTATATTTCAACTAGACAGCAGTGTACTTATTCCTGAAAGAACCAGTATCCACTTCCACTAATACAGCAGAAAAATGTGTATGCTTGAAATTATTCCCAAAGAACAACATTTGGTTACCAAAGAGTAAATGACCACACAACCCAAGCACTGCTTACCACTTTTTCCATGATGAATACAAAGTCATTTTCACTTAAAATATTTTTAATAGGGTTTGGCTGACCCTTGCTGATCAATTGCACTTGAACATCAGCCTGTTAAAAACAAATGCCAACCAATGTCATACAAAGATGTAAATATATTTGTACAAACATTTAAACACATAAGGACTAGTTCTATGCAAGTGACTGGAAAAGAGAACTTGAACAAAACATAAATTTCAAAATAAGCCTTAATTAGTTGCAGCCCATGTTATTTTTCGTGTATAGAAAGTCAACTAGCTCTCATACCTCTCGTTGCTCATGCTTCAAGGCCCACCTGACATATACAGTGCCCTGTAAAGCATCCCTTTGCTTTGGACCACACTACAGTCCTTGTTCCTATTCTCACTATATTAACTGCTATATTTCACCATTTCTTCTAATTGTACATTTATAAAATTTTAAAACTTTTAACATGTCAGCTTGCAGGAATTGAAGACTTTCATTAAATCCAAAATATTTACTTTAGGAAAATAGGCCAGGGATTCAGCTCAGTGGTTTCGCTACCTGCTTCACAAGTGCAAGGATCTGAGTTCAATCCCCGGCACCAAAAAAACCCACAAAAACAAAAAACAAAATATTTACTTTAGGAAAATATACAAACACAGCTTAAAAAAAAACTGCCCATAATTCTACTGCCTAGGATAATCGCTACTGTTATTAGCCTGGTTGGCTTATAATGTTGCCAGCTCTCTTTCGAAGGCATATAAATCTTTTTCAAATTTTAATTAGTACATGTTAGCAATACATGATTCTATACATTGTGGGGGGTTGGTACACATACATAACCCAGCTCCATACTTTTTATGTCCCCTTCTCCTCCTTTCCCTTCCACCTTCCTCCATCCCTTGGTCTCCTTCCCATATGCAACCAATCTACCTCCCTATCTCTTATTATCTTTCTTTTATTTTACTCTTTACTTATATTTGCATTTCTTATATAAGAGAAACCATGTGATAGTTAAGCTTGTGTGTTTGATTTATTTCACTTAACACAGTCATTTTTATAAATGACTCAAATGTATCCTTTATAGCAGAATAATACTCTATTGTGTATAAAGGATTACATTTTCTATATCCATACATTTGCTGATGGACATATCCCAAGATTTAGTTATTATTAGTTATATTGCTATAAACGGGTATGCATATATCACTGTTACATGTCTTTAACTCTTGCAATTTCTTTTCTTCTTTTTTTTTTTTTTGGAACTGGAGATCGAACTCAGGACCTTGCACTTACAAGGCAGGCGCAGTCCCACTGAGCTAAATCCCCGGCCCAATATGTCTTTAACTCTTTCAGGAAGATATCTAGAAGAGGAATAGCTGGGTCAAATGGAATTTTTTTTTTTTTTTTGAGACAGGATCTTGCTATTCAAGCAGGCCTCGAGCTCACAATGATTCTCCTGCATCAGCCTCCTGAGTGCTGAGATTTCAGACATGTGCCACCATGCCCAGAGAGGAATTTCTAGCTTGTTTTCTGAGGAATCTCCGTATTGATTTCCATAGTGGCTGTAGTAGTTTACATTCTAATCAACAATGTAGAAAGGTTTCTTTTTCTCAGCAGCCTCACCAGCATCTGTTATTATTTGATTTCTTTCTTTATCTTTTTTGAGACAGAGTGCTATGTAGTTCAGACTGGCCTTGAACTATGTTGCCTAGGCTGGCCTTGAACTCATGGTGATCCTCCTGCCTCAGGCTCCCAAGTGCTGGGATTACAGATGTGTGCCAACACACCTGGCTATTATTTATTTATTTATTTTTTTTAGTACCAGGGATCGAACTTAGGACCTTGCGTTTACTTGCAAGGCAGGCGGCAGAACAACTGAGCTAAATCCCCGGCCCTAATTATTTGATTTTTTGATGACAGTGATTCTTTCTGGAGTAAGGTGGAATTTCAGTATTGTTTTGATTTGTATTTCTTTAACAGCCAGAGATGCTGAATGTCTTTTCGTGTATTTACTGGCCATTTATACTTCTTTTGAGAAGTGTCTATTCATTTCAACTGTTTGTTTTTTGATTGGGTCTTTTATTTGGGGGAGTCTAATGTTTTGTTTTGTTTTGTTTTTGGTACCAGGGATCAATCTCAGGACCTTGCGCTTGCGAGGCAGGCGGTGGAACCACTGAGCTAAATCCCCGGCCCCAAGTCTAATGTTTTTTGAGTTCTTTATATATTCTAGATACCAGTATTAGTCCTCTGTCTGAAAAATAGATGGCAAAACTTTTTTCCTTATGTAGGTTGTTTCTTCACTCTGTTCATTGTTTCTTTTGGTGTGCAGAAGCTTTTTAATTTGATATGATCCCATTTGTTGAGTCTCAATACTATTTCCTGTGCAACCAGGGTTCTGTTCAGAAAGTCCTTGCCTATGCCTATGACTTCAAGAGTTTTATCTTCCAGCAAGTTAAATGTTTGTTTTAATATTTAGATCTTATGGGGAGCATGGCGGCGCACACCTATAATCCCAACACTTGGGACATGAGGTAGGAGGTTCGCCACAAGTTTGAGGCCAGCCTGGGCTTTATAGTGAGTTCAAAGCTACACTGAAATTACCAAGTGAGACCCTGTCTCAAACAACAACAACGACAAAATGATTTTTGTTTAGAGCATAGTGAGATAGGGGTTTAGATTCAATCTTCTATATGTGGACAGCCAGTTTTCCCAGCACCATTTATAAAAGAGGGTATCTTCCTTTCAGCAGTTTTTAGCCCATCAAAGATCAGATGGCTGAATGTGCCTGGGGTTGTTTTTGCATCTTCTATTTGATCCACGTATCTGTTTTCATGCCGGTACCATGCTGTTTTTATCACTGTAGTTTTGTATACAACTTGAAGCCTCCTGCTTTGCTCGTTGCCCAGGATTGCCTTTGCTATTCTGTGTCTCTTCTGGTTCCATATTAATTTTAGATTGTTCTCTCTAGTTCTGTGAGGAATGTTGCAGGAATTCTTATTGGAACTGTATTAAATCTACATATTAACTTGGAAGTATGGCCGTTTTGACATATTGGTTCTACAAATAGGGGCTTTTTTTTTTTTTCCTGGTTTTTTGAGACAGGGTCTTGCTATACAGTTCAGACTGGCCTTGAACTCATTATATAGACTAGGATGGACTCAAACTCACAGCAGTCCTCCTTCCTCAGCCTCCCAAGTGCTGGGATTACAGGCATGTGCCATCACACCCAGCTTTTTCCATTTTCTTTTCTTTCTTTCTTTCTTTTTTTTTTTGGTACCAGGGATCGAACTCGGGTCCTTGCACTCGGGTCATAGCAGGCGGCAAAACCACTGAGCTAAATCCCTGGTCCTCCATTTTCTGATATTCTCTTCCATCTCCTTTTTTTCAGAGTACTATAGTTTTTATGATAGAGGCCTTTCACTTCCTTTGTTAGGTTAATTACTAAGTATTTAATTTTTCTTGAAGCTATTGTGAATGGTATTTTTCCCCTGTCTTTCTCTGTGGTTTCATTATTGGTGTACAGGAATACCACTTTTTGTTTGGCTTTTATTTTTTTTTCAGGTTGAGACAAGGTCTTGGTGTGTAGTTCCAGCTGGCCTTGAGCATGCTATGTAGCCCAGGTTGGCCTCAAACTTTGGTGATTTCCTGCACTGGCCTCCCAAGGGTTGGACTCTCCTGCTACCTAGCTGAATTGTTTATCAGTTCCAGGAGTCTTTTGGTGGAATCTTCTTCTTCTTTTTTTGGTTTTTGAGACAGGGGCTACATAGTTCAGGATGGCCTTGAACTCACTATGTACCCAAACTGGCCTCAAACTCACAGGGATCTTCCTGCCTCAGTTTCCCAAGTGCTGGGATCACAGGCCTGCGCCACCACACCCAGCATTTGGTGGAATCTTCTATGTAAAGGATCACATCATCCGCAAATAAGGATAGTTTGACTTCTTCTTTTCCCATACACACACACACACACATTTTTGGGGGCGTACCGGGGATCGAACTCAGGACCTTGCGCGTGCGAGGCAGGCAGAGGAACCACTGAGCTAAATCCCCGGCCCCCATATATATTCTTTTTCTTTCTCATGAGGCATATAAATAAAGCTATCTAAATAAAAATGTATCTATTTAGATATCTAGTAGGATTTGGCTTAATAAAGATAAGATATTTAAGTAGTTTTATATCATGAACCTCTTTCTATGTCATTAAATGTTCTTGGGCTGCCTAATACTACACATCTACTATCACATTAGTAACTCCACATTTGGCAACATTTTGGTAGTTCTCAGTTATTTGCTATTATGATAAACAACGGACAATAGCATCTGTGAATTATTTTCTTAAGATGAATACCTAAAGTCACACTGATATTCTCAAACTGCCTTTCAGACATGTCATATCCACATATTTTCATTTCCATCAACACACTGAGTATTTACATTATTTTTCCATCTCACACAAAAACAGTATCTTATTGTCATTCATTTGATCGTTAATAAAGGTGAACAGTGGTTTCTAATATGCTTATTAATAAGTATATATCCTTATTTGAATGTTTGATATCATAGTTTGGATACTGAAGCATTTAGATACCAAGCTCAGGCAGCCAAGGATACTGCACTATTCTTGTCTACAAGCCTTCTGAGTTTTATTACTATTGTGGGTTGAACTGTGGCCCCCCCAACCCCTCATTCCTATAAAAGTGATCTTATTTGGAAATAGAGTCCTCACAAATGTAATAAAGTTAAGAGAAGGATTAATTTCAATCCGAGTGAGGCCTAGAACCAATGGACGCTAAACTTGTAAGGAGAAAGAGATGCAGAGACACAGAAACACAGGGCAACACCATGAGTCCACATAGGCAGAGAATGGAATAGTGCAACTATAAGCTAAGCAGTGCCAAAGACTGCCTGAAACCACCAAAACCCAGCAGAGGCCAGGAGGGGCCCTTTCCTAGAGCCCTCAGTGGGAGATATGATTGGATCTCTGGAGTCCAAAATTTTGAGAGAATTTCTTATGTTTTAAGCTGCCTGATTTGTGGCCCTTTGCTGTAGCAGCCTAGGAAACTAACAGGGATACCAAACAGCCAGAATCCAAATAGGGAAGGATTAATAAATTTAAGTGGATGTTCTTGACTCTTGAGTTTGGTTAGTGAGAATTCAATGAAGGATAACTACATGTGCATTTTCTTAATTACTCACTCATGTCCTTTA